TACTAACTGCACAGCACCATCAGTTCATTTCTTCAGCTATGGCTCCAACAGATCTTTTGCTGTTTGCTGGCCCAGGATTGCTCTCCTCTGCCCTGAGTCAGTAGCAGCTGGGAGTGGTTACCACTTCCTTCTCTTACCACAGTTCCTTCTCTACCATAGTTCTGTTTTGTACGTTGTTCCTCTAGCTCAGGATGATTGCCACTTTCATTTACGTTCATCATTACACCTTATTATCTGTGCAGCCAAGCCAGTGTCTCCTATAGCCCCTCGTGCTTTCCAAAGGGTAAGGTTGAATTTTTCATTTTGTCGTACTTTGGGGGTTGTGGGGAGTAGGGGTGGAAATCACCGGATTATCAAGTAATCCTTTCTTTCCTTTGTGTGCTTTTGGAATAAATCTAGATTATGTTGAAGTAAGTGTTAGGACATTTCTGTTTCTTCATCTGTAAAGGGGCTGGGATCTTATATTTCTGTTCACATTCCTTCCAGCATGAATATTTTATGGCTAATTAGATATTAACTTATTTATTAGTTAGAGATATTACATAAACACACTGGATATGTCCCTGCACTGTTAATTTGGGTTGGAACTGAAAATATACTTTCTGTATGTGCCTAATGCTACTACAGTGAAGTTCTTGAGCCGGGTCTGTTCAGTCATATTGTTAAAAACTGTATGAATATTTATGAAGGAGAAAGAGATAATACATACCATGAACATTCGCTGTTTTATGTGCATGTGGTTTATATTGTGTTCTGTGTCAGAATTGCCTCCTAGAGCCATCTCAGCAGTTCTGATTCTCTGTCTAGCATCTAGAGCAGGGACTGGCTAAAGAAATACTTGTTGAAAAAGGGCATAAACTAATTTTTGAGCATTTTATTATGTACTGGGCACTGTCCTGAGTATTATATTTATGCTGTCTCATTAACTCTCAAACCTTCTGAGATGGTACTGTTAGTATGTTATAAATTTAGGAAGCTGAAGAAATTTAGGTTCAAATAAGTTAAGTGACTTCCTCAGGATTACTCAGTGCCTGACGAGCAAAGATAGGATTTGAACTTAAGTCTTTTTGTCTCTGAGTTCCATAAACTTAACTACCGTATCCTTGTAATACCTACCCACTAGTCAAATTAAAATCTAAAAAGAAACTGTAAAAGCATGTTTAGATGGAGGGGAAATAAGAAATTTGGTTATTGTTTTAGCACTTACCATTAGACATAGAAGTTTCTCCATTTCTTTTCAGGGCCTGGGGTAAGGTAAAGTACACACATCTGCTCTGTATATTAAAATATCCCCTTAACTCATTAAAGTGGAACAAAAACAAGGTCACTTGACAGGACTGTAATTGTAATCACTCTATACAGCTTTACTTCCTGCCATTTAGTAGTAGGACCATTTCCTTGTCCTTAAACATGCTTCTAAAATGCCAGTTTTAATGGCTATAGTCTTCCATTTATGATTGTATCAGGATTCATTCTGTCATTGTATTGTCATTCACATACGTTGTTTTCAGTCATAAAATACTGTAATGAGCATCTGTGAGCTTAGATTTTTGCTCTCACCTATTGTGTCCTTAGACTAAACACTTAGTAGAATTAATGGATTAAAAGATACTTTTTAAAGGCTCTGATTCTTTTAAAATGTGTTGTTAAACTCCTCAGATCCTCTAAGCAGATCCTTATGCTGTACTTGTGTGATTTATTTCGAATCTAAATGAAAGCCTTTGTATTAGTTGCCCTGTTAAATCCCGTCTTGCCATTTGGGCAGCCTTTTCTTAGTGTGTTTTCTCTGATATCAGTTAACATTATATCGGCTAATTCCACAGAGACTAGGAGACTGGAAAATGAAGATAATGTGGAAAAACAAGTGCTTGTGAATTTGGGAGTGCCTTGTTCTTTTAAGATGTGATGTGGGTTAAATGATAAACGAAACATCTTAAATTCTTTAAAAGTAGCAGAAGTAGGATGGGCACGGTGGCTCATGCCTGTAATCTCAGCACTTTGGGAGGCTGAGGCGGGCGGATCACTTGAGGTCGAGAGTTAGAGACCAGCCTGACCAACATGGAGAAACCCCGTCTCTATTAAAAGTACAAAAAATTAGCCGGGCATAGTGGTGTGCACCTATAATCCCAGCTACTCCAGATGCTGAGGCAGGAGAATTGCTTGAACCCGGGAGGTGGAGCTTGCGGTGAGCTGAGAGCCCACCATTGCACTGCAGCTGGGGCAACAAGAGCAAAACTCCATCTCAAAAAAATTTTCTTAAAAAGTGACAGAAGTAAATGGAATTTATCTGGAAAAAAACAGATGTTTATTCTGATGCCCTAAATTCAGGGGTGAAATATTACCTGGACTAGAGGAAAATTTTGTGTACATTATATGGTGTCATCTATTTTGACAAGCTCACTTTGATATTACTGCTGCAGGGTAGCCCCAGAGGGTTGAATTGAAAAGAACTGAGTATTTTGAGGAACAAAACCTAGGATAGTAGGCTGGAGGGAGTTGGACGTCAGGGTTTTAGCCATGTATAGAGAGATAAGTAATATATTTAATATAGGAAAGAGGAGAATCTATATAATATGCTTTACTTCAGAGGTGGATGATGGAGAAGAGAGGACACATCTCCTTGAAAAGGGGGCATGGTGTTGAGAATGGAGAAAAGAGGGAAGGCAGATTACTCAGAAGACCTGGGGTAGAGGAATAGGTTGGATGATAAAAAGGGCTGACATTAGTCCCTGAAAGGATTTTTTAAATAACTTCTAACTTTTGCCTTCACCTTTGCCAGCAGTGGTTGATCTGCTTTCAGCTGTAGAGAAGCAAACTGAATAAAGGACATTGTGCATGTTAGGTCTTTTATAAAAAAAAAATGCCATTTATTTGCCTGTTGGTACATGTTTGTAATATTTGGAAATACTCTCACTGCAAAGAAGAGTATAGTTGTGCTGTAATGGGCAGGATGAGGAAAATAAGGATCATCAGCAGCAGAGTCAGAGTGGTGAAAAGACTGGATTTTAAATACTCAGCTTGACTTTGTATAGGTAAGTAAGTCAAGCAGAGTGTTCCCTGGATGCAGTTAAAATACAAGTTGGGAGCACAGGTAAAAGACCAAGTGCAAAGTATGTTGGGAAGTGTAATGTCATATAAACTAATAAAGGGTGGCATTCTGTCTCATATCCTGAAACGTTTTGAAAACACTATTGAATTTGACCAGAAGGGCATTGCTAGTGAATTTCAAAGAGAGATTTCAGTCTAGTTCTGAATTGAAGGAAGATGTATGATGGAAGAATGGAAAGGGCCAATAATGAGGGTTGAAAAAGGAAAGAGTATTCAAGCATATGCATAAAAAGAGTATGGGTAGGTTGTATAGATGAGGACATACTAAGCCTGGGAAGACAAGGTTTCTGGCGCTAGTTTTTCTTTAACAAGGGTGATAGAAATGTTTGCTTCATATATTAGTACTATGCACAGCTGTCTACCTCTCAGCTTTTCTAGCAAGACATAAGGGCTTGTGAATTAACCCTGGGTATCTCTGGCATTAGGTAGAAGTAATAGTACTTCCATGTGTGACCTCGAGACATACTGAAATGAGGCAACCAAGGAAATCCTTTATATTGGGACCAAGAGCCAAGATCTCAGCTTGGGTTGTGTTACCCTGAGAGCTGTTAGCCTGATACTATAATTCTGTGAATAATAATCCCAAGGGTCCTGTTGTCTCTTTTTCCTCATGTCACTTCCTTTGATGTACTAAATGTCACATACTAACATCTGCAAACTCTGAAAATTCTGATTTATTCTGCAATGTTTGGAAATTTCACTGCTAGTAATTATATTTCCTGGCATGGGTCTGATATAATTTTCTGTGTACACAGTAGCTTTTCCTTTTAGTGCTGAATCATACTGACATCCTTGTTCAACCTAAGTTAAAGTTTAGTTGCAAGGGAGCTACCAAGGCAAATAATTAAAGTAATGGTGAAACGAATACAAGTCAAACACCCCAATTCAAAATTCTGCCACAAGTGGAAAATTCTACACATAAGTACTTTAACACAAACTTTGTTTTATGCTCAAAATTATTTAAAATATTAAATTACCTTCAGGCTATATATGTAAAGCATATATGAAACATGAGTGAATTTTATATTTAGAATTGGTACCATTCCCAAGATGTCTCAATGCAGATATTCCAAAATCTGAAAAAAAAATCCCAAATCCAAAACACTTTTGGTCCTGAGCATTTTGCACGAGGGATACGCAACTTGTAATACCTTCTTTGTACAGCCAAGTTTGCACATATGTAGGTTACAGCAACTCATCATGTCTTACTTAACCTTTCAGTATTTTTACTTTGACTGTAAATTGTATCCAGATTTTAGAAATGTAAAGCTTAGAGAAATGTGCATCTCAAAATTAAGAAAGCTGTGCCCACTGTTAAAGATTGGGGCATGGAAACAAAGTTGGACAGTGTACTAGAAAGGTATGTAACAGGGGATTTGGTTCTTATTTTTGTTATCAAGTGGAAGAGTCAACTGTAGGAGTCTAAACCAAATCAGGTCCACCTGGGAGTCTCAAGTTTAGGGTTACTTAGCATGTGGATAGTGATACAGCAAATAGTTGCATTGATTTTACTCATGGGGTGGTGATGATAATATAGTGGGGGAATTCACATCCACCTTGTAATCTGGGTAAAATATTGGTATAAATCATTTTGGTTTTCTTTTTTTTTTTTATATCGTTTTAGTCTTCTTAAGTTTTGGTTTCGGTCGGGCGCGGTGGCTCACGCCTATAATCCCAGCACTTTGGGAGGCCGAGGCGGGTGGATCACTAGGTCAAGAGATCGAGACCATCCTGGTCAACAAGGTTGAAACACCGTCTCTACTAAAAAATACAAAAAAGAAAAATAAAAAATTAGCTGGGCATGGTGGCACGTGCCTGTAGTCCCAGCAACTCGGGAGGCTGAGGCAGGAGAATTGCTTGAACCCAGGAGGCGGAGGTTGCGGTGAGCCAAGATTGCGCCATTGCACTCCAGCCTGGGTAACAAGAGTGAAACTCCATCTCAAAAAAAAAAGTTTTGGTTTCTTTATTAATAAAATTACAGAACTGAATTATCTAGATGATATTCAAAGTTCCATGTGGTTCTGTTAGTCTGGGATTCTACAGTGGAATTTTGTCACTACTTTTGGGAACAAGTTTACCTTTGGTGGCCTACAAATAAAAATCATCTTGGAACAATGCCATTTATCATATGGATGATTCTGTGTGTTTATATAATCATTTATGTTAGTTTCCAAATGTGTTAATATACAGTATCTCATTTGATTAGCTCAGTTGGGTGATGAAATAGGTCAGAAAGGTATTATGTTCATTTTCCTGATGAAATGAAACATGGTGGCTAGCCTCTTGAACAATTTAAATTTGATCATCTTACTTGGTATGCTAGCCTCTAAGGATGAAATCCTGCCATTGAGAAAGAAAACCCAGTCAGGAAAGCTTTCTCACCTTCATCTATCTAGCAAAGTATACATATTCTCCAAGTTCTGACTTGAATGCTGCTGAAGCTTTTCTTAATAATCTCTTCTACCTCAGCAGAGTAGAAGCACTTTGATCATTCTCCTCAGGACTCAGGATTTTAATTATCTGTTTAATGCCTTTCTCTTCCACCCTAGTGAACTACTCAAGTGCAAATACCTTGTCTTATTTATCCCTAAACCTCATACTGTACATGGCATATAGAGATGCTTAGTGAATAACTGTAGAATCAAATGAAAGAGTTAAAGTGATGGGCTGGAGTTGTGGAGTAAGGAGAACTTGGGCTTTGGGCTAATGGGAAGGAGATGTCATTGTATCCCTTTTTTAGATTGAAAATTTGCCCTGTATGTGCATTTAAAAATGAAAAACCTAGTTAAATAAAAGGGGTGGTTAACCAGGGGCCAAATCTCTTAATAAAATAAATTTGAAATTGTTAAGAAAATGGCAATTAAAACCCATATGTTCACGGAAAAGTGTAAATTCCTGTTTTAGTTTTCCCCTAAATGATTTTGCCGTATCATGTAACAGCAGTCTGTAGTCAAACAAGACTGATTTCAAGTGGATAAATAGAATTTTTAAATTCCCTGGAGGGAGAAATCTTTGTCCAGTTAAGCTTTGTGTTATCTAGATGTTTTTATTTGTCTAGTGACCTCTTCTTCTTATTGAAAGAGTAGTTAGGAGAAACCCTTTAGCACTGACTTTTTCAAGTTTACTGTAATGTAATGACCTCCTTGAAAGGAGAAGTACAGAATGTATTTTTCATAATGTTACTTAAATTCTGTAGACATGAAACTAGATATAAAACCCTTATGTTCTTGGCTCATGCACCACTGTAAACCAAATCTGCAAATTAAATACAAAGGCAACTACCAAAAAAACAAAATTCAAATGAATACAGTTATTCAGTGTGACAGATGATGTTTAGGTTTCACAGTAGAAAAAAGTAACTTTAGGTCTAATTCCATTTTAAATCTGTTTCTGTATTTTAACTTCAGTGATAATAAAAGCTGTGAGTAGTGCCTCTTCTCATCAGTAATATTATGCAAAGAGTATTAATGACTTCAAAGCTTTATTGGTAAGTTCAGAATGAGACATCATACCTAACCAAAACACTTGCCAGCAAGCATTCCTCAAATACAGGCTTATAAGTTTTACAGAAATGTCAGCTGTTTTGTTTATTGGAAGATATGGTTAATATTATGACATTATTGAAATCTTCATTAAATGATTTTCTAAACCAGTTATTGCTGGAAATGAGAATGAAAAAACATCATTACATACCTATAATTACATTTACTGCTAACAAATATTTGCAGATTTTACTACACATGTAGGACCCATATAACACTTGCATATAATAAAGTGCACATATGATATTGGCTGTTAGGCTATTTGCTTTTGAATATGCATGCCATGCCTGTATTGCCATATGCTCTGATGATTTGAGTTCCTTTTATTTTTTACTGTTTCTTTTAGAATGACCATGAAACTTACACTGGGTGTAGTGTGCCACAAGGACATTTGGCCTGAAGAAGATCTTCACACAGCTGAAGCAGCAGCAGTGAATGCCTAGTGCCAGTGTTTAGATAGTGGCTACTCATGATCTTGAATGTTTATCCTTGTTTTTAGATTATCTTTGAAATGAAAATATTTGTTTAAAACTTGTATACAACTCATACATCCTTTTATCTCCCAATATATTTCGGAAACATTGTTTTAGCAAATATTTTTCTGATCACTATCTAAGGAACCAGAATTCAGAGATGTGAAAAACAAAGCAAGCTTGGCCCTTCCTAAGGCAATGAAAGACACTTTAACAGCAAACTATAAATAGATTGATTTTTCACTGTCCTAAAGGTATGCAAAGAGCACTATGGAACATATTGAAAGGAGCTACCAATTATTGTGAAGGTAAGGGTGAGGTTTAGAGCACATCATGGAAAAGATCCTATTAGAATAGAGTCTTAAAGGATGAGTCAGATAAGAAGATAGGTTTAAACTAGACAGAGAGATGGTATATGTAAAGACCACAGTCATGAAAGACACTATTATAATGGTGAGAGGTGTGTGGCCCTAGATAGCATTTGTCATGTGAGAAGTAAATTGGAGCCCCAAACTAAAAGTCTTGTTAGGCCAGGTGTTTAGCCCTTATTTCATAAACATAGGGGAGCCCTGGTGATCTGAGAACTGGGAGAGTATTCATGGCAGTATTTTTTATGTAGAGTGGTTGCCACATTGTATTACAGTGTTCTGCTTCAGTTGTCATTGGAGCTCTTCAAGGGCGGTGACCATTAGTTATTAATCTTTGTATACTAAGCTTTTGGTAGAGGAACTGATAAAAGTAATGCTTAGAAGCCGGGCGCAGTGGCTCACGCCTGTAATCCCAGCACTTTGGGAGGCCGAGGCGGGTGGATCACGAGGTCAAGAGATCAAGACCATCCTGGTCAACAAGGTGAAACCCCGTCTCTACTAAAAATACAAAAAATTAGCTGGGCATGGTGGTGTGTGCCTGTAATCCCAGTTACTCAGGAGGCTGAGGCAGGAGAATTACCTGAACCCAGGAGGCGGAGGTTGCGGTGAGCCGAGATCGTGCCATTGCACTCCAGCCTGGGTAACAAGAGCTCAAAAAAAAAAAAAAAAAAGTAATGCCTAGAAAACATGGGTTGAATGACTAATCATGAGTAAAGAGGATTTAGGAGAGAATTATGACAGTCTCCTATGGTGATAGTTTAATGCTTTGTGGGTCACAGACTCCTTTGTGAGTTATTTTGAAAGCTTTTCCGTGAAAATGAAAATACATATAACATTAGGCTTATAGTTTTATGGAATTCAACCTTTGAAGCCAGTCCATGAATTCCTGGTTCAGAATTCCTCCTTAGGAAATTATACCCAGATAGCCATCACCATCACACATTGTCATGAATAATTACTATCTCTTTTAGCAGTTTTTAAATATATTATGATTGTGTCTCTTAAAATTTTCTTCTGTTTCTTTCATACTTAGGAAGCAAATACCTGATGTGTTTATGAATAAAGCATTTTTAATAATGATTAAGGTAAAACCTTACTGGTCTGTAAAGATAATAGACAAGTGTGTGAATTAAGCAGCAACCAAGAAACAACTACTTGAGGAGAACCTGACATTCCTGAATTTGAGTTTAGCAAGTGAGTTGGGAGTCTCCAGGGTCACCCTCACACTTGATTTGCCAGAAGGACTCACAGGACTCAGAAAAGCTATTATAGTCATGGTTATAGTTTATTACAGCAAAACCAGACAGATTAACATCAGCAAAAGGAAAAGGCACCCGGAGTGAAGTCTAGGAGAAATCAGGCACACGTTTCCAGGTGTCCCATTCCAGTAGAATAGTGTAGATTGCCTTAAGTCTCTCAAAAACGTGTGACAACATGCATGAAGTTGTGAACCAGGGAAGCTCACTTGAGCCTTGGTGTCCAGGGTTTTTATTGTTGGTCAGTCGCTTAGGCTTGCAGCACCTTCGTGACAGGCTTCAGCTCCTCAGACTTCCCTCACCCAGCCCCCCAGTAATAGGTGTTCACTGTAACATTGTTAGAATAAGCTATCTGGCAAAATTGGTACCATGTAACCCAAGGCCTCAGGCATATAGAAATATTCTTGTCAGGGAGAATATTCCATAAATTTAGAGCTTGTCTACCAGGAGCCAGCCAAAGCCAGTTATAAAGACAGGTCTTTCTTGGGAATGTGCAGGGTTTGAGCAACTCAGTCCTGCTGAGTTAACCCTTCCTTGTACAGCAAGTTAGCTGTTCAGGGAGTTAGCTTTCTCTATCCTGCCTCTGTCTACCTAGCCACTCCTTTTCTAGATACAGTGGACCTCCCTGCTCTCCTCATAGATGGCCATTCCACATACCGAGACTCCTTTTTTTTTCTCTTGCCGACAAGTAATTGAAACGTTTGGATTTAAGACTGTCTTTGCTTTGCAATTTCATGAGACCATGGTGAAATTATATACCCATTCTATCATTGTGATTCAACAAGTATTTTTTGGATGCTTCTGTGTATCAGGCATGGTATTAGATGGCAGATACACAGAAATGACTAATACAGGTATCTGGCTTCATGGAGTTTACAGTTTCATAGGAGAGAGAAAAACAAAACTAGCAATTCTGGTAAGCAGTGTGTGTTTTAGCACTTAATCAGAGAGCATGGTTGAAGATGGGTGTATCTGGGTATATGGGAAGGTGTTGGTGATGTTTAGAAGGCTTCCTTAAAGAGTTCACTCCTGGGGTTAAGCCATAAAGATCAAGTAGATATAAGTGGGTATGAAGCTAGTGTTTTGCTGCTAGTCATTTCTGTAGTTAGCTTGCCTGTGTGCTTGGAGCATTTATATATTGTTACTGGCGTAGTCTGCCTGGCTTCACTAAGAGAATGCCCCAGTTCTGGCCAGAATATACATGTCTTTTTTAGGGTTTGCACCAAGGAGAATAGAGAGTGTCTGGCTCAGTACAAATCTGTTTCCGTTACTCCATTACCCAGAAACCAACTGAAATGGCATTAGCCTACAGTTAATGGATGGTAGTGTTTTCACACATTGCTGTTCAAAGGAGGAGTATGTGAATGCTTAGTTTGGGGCTGGCTTAAAATATATATATATAACCTTACAAATTTAAATGTACTTTGTTTCTAATGGGAAGGCAAATGCTTGCCTTGCTTTGATGAAATTGCCTGTAACAAAATTTTTCTATACTTGAAAGCAAAAACCTTTAGGAAGAAACCTGGGTCCAAGTGTTGCTACATTTCAGGCTTCTACATGTATGTGGTTCTTAATAGAATTTGAAATTTCTAAGAGCAACAAATAGTTATTTTTTGAACAGTGCATATAAATGTTGTGATAAAATCAAGAATGTATTATTAGAGTGAATATTCGATAATTTCAAACTGTTAATTTTGAGTTTTTTCTAATAGAATCTTTCTCTTTTCCAGCATTACAGTGTTTCTGCCACCTCTGTACAAAAGACAATTTTACTTGTGTGACAGATGGGCTCTGCTTTGTCTCTGTCACGGAGACCACAGACAAAGTTATACACAACACCATGTGTATAGCTGAAACTGACTTAATTCCTCGAGATAGGCCATTTGTATGTGCACCCTCTTCAAAAACTGGGTCTGTGACTACAACATATTGCTGCAATCAGGACCATTGCAATAAAATAGAACTTCCAACTACTGGTAAGTTGTTGTATAAAATTTTTTGCCTAGATATTACAAGAAAAACTCTTCATACTTTGTGATTTTAGAACTAGAAGGGATCATAGAAATTGTCTAATCCAACTTGTTCAGTTTAGAGGCAAGAGGAGGAAAGAAGTGACTTGTCCATTGTTATAGACTTACAGGAGTAGCCAAGATCCTGCCTCCTGGATATGTGTTGTTTAAGAAGGTGGTTCCAAGGTGGACTTTCTCTGAGGTCTGTTATACCTAAAAGGATAGATAAAAGCAAATTCTGACAAAGTCCACAACGACATCTTCAGATTGTCTCTACCTTCTTCTCAGAGTGGATTTCTTCTTCCTTATATAATACTCCTATCTTTTAAAGCAATCAACAGCAGTTTAATGAGTGGGGATTCAGAGCAGCATTAAACGGTCTAGATGCTTTTATTTTGCAATTTCAGCTTATTTTATGGTCTATGCATAAATTAATTTTACATAATTTCTAGATTTTTGGTCCTTCACCTGTAGTTTACATTTAAAATTTCCTAGAGCTGGGTGCAGTGGCTCACACCTGTAATCCCAGCACTTTGAGAGGGTGAGCTGGGCAGATGACTTGAGGCCAGAAGCTCGAGACCAGCCTGGCCAACATGGAGAAACCCCATCTCTTCTAAAATAACACAAATAAAATTTCCTGGCAGAACCAACAATTCGAAAGCTTCATAAACTTCTTAGTTTCAAGATTCTGGTTTAAGATGAAAGTGTGAGCACATGTGTATCACTCTTACCACTTTCCCCAGATCCTAAAGGAATGTAAAAATGAGGGCAACCTATATTAATGCTAGTAGAATTAATGGTAGAATGCCACCCACATGCCAACACTTTTGAGGAACTTCTGCAATTTACACAGCACAGATAACACCAGACTAGTGAAGAATTGACTACTCATATAAGAAAGGTTAGTCATTGAAAAATCTACCCAATAACTTAGATGAGGGACTAGGGGAAAGTTAGGGTATGGGGCAAACTCTCAGTTCCCTTTTAGGAAGTATCTGGCTTCAGTTCTCAGAGGAGTAGACACAGTTACTCACTTTCCACTCAGAGTTGGTCTAGGCCTTGTGCTGATTAAAAGAGGAAGCATTGCTGTAGCACAGAAGGAAAAGGCCAGTCCTCTTGGTTTCAGAAGGGAGGCAGCCCTCCACCTGTTCATTATGATAATGCAGCTCCCTGTGGTAAGGGCTGGTCAGACTGTAATATCTTTGTGACTTTGATGAAGGCATCTGGAGTTACAATGTGGCAAAGAAAAGGATAGTTCCAGAATTTCCCAGTTCCGTCATTTGAGCTCAAAATATCTGAGTAGAGATTTGCAAAACCTTGTGAAGAAGTCACTTCACCTCTTATGTTTCTAATGAACATATATACACTTCTCATTTCCAGCTCTAAGATAGGCAAACAAAAAAATTACCAATGAAAAGTTAGGAGTTCAAAAGAAGTAGTCTGAACTACATAGATTAGATGTCATCCTAAGAACTAGGCTTACCACATGATAGGGAAGAAGTTTCAAACAGTTTAAGGTCTATTTTCAGTTATTGACTATGAAATGAGAACATTTCACAGTTGTTAAAGGTTGCTTTCAGAGGAAAAGTCCAACTGATGAATGTTTTTAAAAATGCACTATTGAGAGCAAACAACAGACCAGATGCTATAATTTTATAGTCAAGTTTGGGACAAGCTTAAGAAATTGTGTTACAATTCAGAGAAAAGACAGTTGGTGAGCATATTAAGAGTTATAGGGAACAGATTTAGACTATCCAATATGCTTATTATCAGAATTCTAGAAAAAGGCATGAGACAAGAAAGAAGACAGAATACCACACAGAATTAGTGAAAAATATTAATACAAACACATATAATAAAAATTATCAATTTCAAGAATAAAAGAATTATGTAAGCATTTAACACACATAAACATTGGTTACCTGTAAGAGGCAAAAAAAAAAAATTCACATTTTTTGCTTAAATATCAGAGGGCAAACGGAACATTCTTGCTGTTACCCAAAATTCTTGAAATAGGCCAAGATTTTTCATATAGAAAGGCAACAGCTTTCTTGCCACAACTAAGTTCAGTGTACAAGGACCCATAGACTCTTCCTGAAAGAAATTACTAGAAATAGGATTCTGTGTGATAAGAGATTAATCTACTAAAGATCTCAAGAATGGGAAAGATGTGATATGAATGAAGTGGTGGTAAGCAGTAAACCAGTAAGGCTCAGGATGAATGTCAAAATAATTGTAATGTTCCGAAACAACCAGAAAATCTTAATTATTAGTAGAAGTTACAAGAAAATGATCTGGACTTAAAAGTCCAGGAGGTTAAAATAATATATATATACATATGTATATATATATATATGAAAACTCTGTTAAAAAAACAAAGGATGTGTTTTGCCTTTAAAAAAATTGGTGGAGAAATGGGCTGGGCACAGTGGCTCACACCTGTATCTCAGCACTTTGGGAGGCCAAGGTGGGTGGATCACTTGAGGTCAGGAGTTTGAGACCAGCCTGACCAACATGGTGAAACCCCATCTCTACCAAGATACAAAAATTAGCCAGGTGTGGTGGTGCGTGACTGTAATCCTAGCTACTTAGGCAAGAGAATCCCTTGAACCTGGGAGGCGGAGATTGCAATGAGCTGAGATTGCGCCACTGCACTCTAGCCTGGGCAACAAGAGTGAAACTCCATCTCAAAAAAAAAAATTAGTAGAGATATATACTAAAATGTGAGTTGTTTGGGAGTGATGAAGATGTATGTGTTTTGGGTTTTTTGTTTGTTTTGATTTTTTTTGTTGTTCGGGTTTTTCTTTTCCCCTGCCATGGGCATGTACTGGCCTTAGAACAAGAAGACAAGCCAGACATACTTTAAAAAAACAAGATGATTATTAAGGAGATGTTAATGAGTATTAACTACTAATTATTAATTACTAATACCAATAACCTGATTATTGAGTATTGGTATTAGTAACCTAATATGATAAGTGAGGAAGGTCCTATAATATTGGTGACAGCTGACCTTGTGATGATGGCTGAAGAATACAGGAAGAGTAAGTGGGTACTGACAGAGCTGGTGTTCATAAAAGGAGGCCTAGTGGGAGAAGACTGAATGATTCACTTGTTCTGGGTTTGAGCCCTATAAGCTGTTGTAATGAGGCTCTTCGGCTAAGTGGTGGCAGTGGCCAGCTGCAGGAATTGTGTAGGATTAGGAAAATGGGGGTTGCCACCTACAGTGTTTTGTTGTTGTTGATGTTTGTTTCACTCAAGGCCCTTTTTCAGTGAAGCCATCACCTGGCCTTGGTCCCGTGGAACTGGCAGCTGTCATTGCTGGACCGGTGTGCTTCGTCTGCGTCTCACTCATGTTGATGGTCTATATCTGCCACAACCGCACAGTCATTCACCATCGAGTGCCTAATGAAGAGGATCCTTCATTAGATCGCCCTTTTATTTCAGAGGGTACTACATTGAAAGACTTAATTTATGATATGACAACGTCAGGTTCTGGCTCAGGTAATGTAATTGTTTCTCCTTTTTCCTAACAAGTCTTTTAAAAATTAAGGGGTATTTATTTTATTAGTTTTTTTAATAAGCCAAGTTGTTAAAATGTGAGATAAATAATATTACAGGTTTGAACCTAATAAAAATCTTTAAGCTTGCTATATATATGCCTGTGGCTAGTTTAAAATAGATTGGAACTTACTTTAACTGTTAAAATGAGTAAGTAGAGCTCCATGTTGGTATAAATTTCAAAGCATTCTCACCGGTATCATCAAATTTGCTTTTCATCACTGTGAGGTAGAAAGGATAGAAACAATTATTCTCATACAGATGAAGCTGAAGTTTAAGATCTTCAAACCATTTGCAGCTAACCCATTCTATTCAGGATTATTTAGCAGCTTGATGTTTATATTTGAAAACAGGCATGACAGAAATGTATTCTGAATTGTGAAGGTTATTTGCTTTTTAAACATTATATGAAATTGTCTTTAGTACAGGCCTCATTTTAAAAAATTAAACTAATGAACTCTTATGTCATTTTCTCACTTCAGAAAAATGTCTAGCCACCTTCTTATTTAAGGTAGTTTTGGCCCCTAATGAGGTTTGCCTTTCTCAGTTCTGTTTGTTGATATTTTGGAGAGCTAATTGTCAGTCATCCCAGGGTGGATTTTGGCATAGCAGTGCTTCATGTTTAAACTGAAGGGCTGCTATCTTTTACTTTTTCTTGCATGAGGTTTGGAAGACTATTAAGGAACACTCCTACCTCGTATGTTTTTAGAATTTGATACTTGACTAAGAATAAATAGAATCTAGTTTCCAAGGCAAGTTTTGTCATAGATTGGCTATATAATCTTGGTTAAAACATGTTTCCTCTTTCGGCTTCTGTTTCCTCATCAAAAATATGGAACCCATACTGTTGATAAAAACACTTCAAATGGTTTGTTAAGACTTTTAAATGAGATATATACTGTCCTTTGAAAAGTATGAATCATCTTCAAATAAGGGCTAAATTCAGGAGTGAAGTGAAAATTTGGAAAGCATATGTAATGAAAATTTCACTAATTTTGGTGAAACCCCATCTCTACTAAAAATGCAAAAAAATTAGCCAGGTATGGTGGCATGCACTTGTAGTCCCAGCTACTCGGGAGACTGAGGCAGGAGAATCACTTGAACCTGGGAGGCGGCGATTGCAGTGAGCCAAGATCACACCACTGCACTCCAGCCTGGGCAACAGCATGAGTCTCTGACTCAAAAAAAAAAATGCTAGTTTTATAATCGAATGATATTAAAGGAATATTAAAGCAGAAGTTGTGACTGGCTAAGAATATAATTCTGAAGCAAAAACCACATCTAATGTTGCAGAAAGCTCATGTAATGACAAATGTCTATTTATTTTAAGGAAATGAATATATATTGGTATGTATGCATATCCATTCATTTACGAATGAAGAAACTGATTGTATTACCTGAATTATTCTTCTGTAGGATTTGACCATATGTATTTAATAAGAGAGCTCTCTACTTGACTGCTAGGATACATACTTGAGCCCCAGTCCCAGAAGGCAACTTTAGAGACTCCTGAGACAGTTGTGTAAGGAAGGCAATGAGAGTTTGGACTTAGATGGAGCAGTCTTAGTACTGAAGGTGTCTTTGGGCAGGAATGATGGAGAGAGGTTATTTTAATAGCTTTCCTGGGGCTTCCCATTTATTCCTGGTTCAGATTTTCCAAGGAAGATTTTGCTCTTCTAGAAGTAGTCCTGCCCAAAACTGTGATAAGCAAGGACCAGAGTCAGAAAATCAGGATGGCTACAGATCATTTGGAATTAATTCCTCAGACCTATTCTCTTGTTGCTCAACTTCTACTCTGGGAAGACACAGCAGCTCATGCCTTGCCACAGTGGAATAAGCCCACTGGATTAAAGGAATTGGTAGGTGGGTGGCAGTTGATTACTGAATAAGAATATTTTCACTTACCTTTTAAGATATAAACATGAAAAAGAATGATATTATTCTGTTTCCATTTTATATATATTTCTAGATCCATCAGAGACCATAGCTGTCTGTTGTCTGAAAGCTTCTCTCCCTCCTTTATGCCTTACCCTGCAAAATTGTCTTCATTGCTTGCTAGCTCTTTAGCTTTGGGCAGTTAACCAGTGTCTCATGCTTGAGTTATTTCATCTTTAAAATGAAAGTGTTGGACTCTGCTTTGTGCTCATCATTGGATTGTTGTGAGTTCAAATGAGACAAAATGTTTGCATGAAAGCGCTTGGTAAATTGTAAAGTTATGTCCAAATGGCAAGTGTTACTCTTACTGAAAACATATTTGGAGGAAAAATCTCACATACAGTATCAGTTGACTGCATTGTACAAAACTTAGTTTAAGGCCTCCTTTGCCTGTCATAGTTCATTGTGTACTGAATTCCTTCCAAACCTATCTAGGCAGAAGTCATCTTCTGTTGAATATAGCAGAAAATGCCATCTGTTTCCTTTCTATTCATTATAAATCCTTAATGCCACCTTAGGCATGAGACTAGTGCCTGTGAATAAGTAAAATGTGTGTTTATAATACTTTGTTTTAGTTCTTTTATTAATTGAGAAAAAGATATAACCATTTCACATTCTGAATTCATGTGTGTATTACTTAGTACCATGACCATAATTAAGGAAAGGCCCTATCTCTACCTCTAAAGACTGTGCTTTTAGCTTGGGGACTTCAGGGAATACAATGAAGAGCCGGGTTCTGACAGCTGTATCCCAAGTGTGTGAGTGTGCACATGTGCATATGTGCCAGCTTTTGAAAGTGAGTCTCCTAGGCCAGTGTTTGCTATAGCTTGGGCAGCTTATGAGCGCTTGTAATATGTGCATGTTGTTCAGGTCTTATTTCCTGTTCACCTAATGTGAAGCTGCACAGCCCCTTTTTCCCTTTTGAAGTTTTCTCTCCAACAGTTCTAAAGGTGCAAAAGAGTAGAGCAGAAAATATAGAGATGTAAATTAGGCTTGTTCGGTTTTGTCTTTAGAAGAAAATGGTTACTTTTTTTTTTTTTGAGACAGGAGTCTCTCTCTGTTGCCCAGGCTGGAGTGCAGTGGCATGAGCTCAGCTCTCTGCAGCCTTCATCTCCCAGGTTCAAGTGATTCTCCTGCCTCAGCCTCCCAAGTAGCTGGGATTACAGGTGTGTGCCACCACGCCTAGTTAACTTTTGTATATTTAGCAGACACCATGCTTCACCGTGTTGGCCAGGCTGGTCTCAGACTCCTGATGTCAAGTACCGCCTTGGCCTCCCAGAGTGCTGGAATTACAGCTGTGAGTCACTGTGCCTGGTCAACTGTTACCTTTTTTAAATGCTCAACTATTCATATGAAGTAATCTAATATAGATAATATAATGGATCAAGATTTGCTTTTTAATTTTAATTCTATATCTAGAATCCAGTGATAAAGGGGAAGACAAAAACTTTTCTCATCCTGTTGGCCTTTCTTGACCATACCATTTACATAAGTCCTGAACCTGTCAGGTGTTTTCCGACTTTGTGTTTGTGATTCCTTTTTCTTTTTTATTGCTGGCCTTTGCAATTTCCAGATTCGTCTCCTGGAATTAACTCTTAAGTATAGTTTTGAGTCTGTGGTGTGGCCCTCTACAAGGCTTTTAGACATGTTTAAATTAGTATCTACACCAAAAAACGTAATTAGAATTGATTATTCCTAGTACAAAAGAGCTCCTTGATTCAAGTAAGGATTTCTGACAGATCTAACTAGCAGTCTCCTTATAAACACAAACAATTATTTATAGTTAGACTGCTAACTGCTTTGCAGGAGGTAGGGAGGGTAGAGCAAGAGGAATAAAGGAACCCATTTGAGAAACTTAAAGATGAGAGAAGAAGAGCTTCTGATTGCTTTGAAGATTTAACATACGGATTTATAAGCATTTCACGTCAGGGAACCAAACAGATCAGATAATTTCATTTACTATCATTGGGTTAATTTGATCTACCAAGCAGCTTTTAGTATAAATTATAAATGACACAAATTTATGTGTACATAGATGGTATAAATAAGATACTAGTGTGGAGCATGATGAACACTGGATTTTCTTTGTTAGTGTCAGTGTAATTTAAAATGACACTTGTCAGATGGGGGATAGGATATTGAGTGATAGTCTCACATATAGTGACACTTTAATGTTGCAGGTAGGTAGTAAATCCTTTTAAATGAAATAAGTATGGCAATACTTAAAAATGCATATTTTGGAGAAAGCCAAGTTCAGTTAGTGGAAAAACTGCTCCATTACCAAGGTAAGTTACTTGGGATTGTTCTGTAAGATACTAGTAGCCAGTTGTTAGCAAGTAAATTGCTTGCCTTGAATAGTTTGTGTGGTGATTATTACTGATTTATTAAAAAGCCAGAATTTGCTTCTGTGTTTCTGTGTTCACATCCTTTTTTCCCCCCATCAGTGAAACCATTACCGGACTCATCTTTCTAAAATAAGATTTTGAAATTATCTCACTCCCAGCCATGGCCCTTTTCCTCAGAAATCTTTAAAGGTTCCTCTGTTACCTAAAGCTCTTATTGGTTATTTTGAGCTTGATATACAGTACTCTTTATCTTCTGGTAACCGTTTACCTTCTCTTTCACTGCTTTGCCACATATATCCTCTCTTTGATTACCCAAGCTGGTTCCCTAAACATGTGTCATTCATTTCCTTCTACCTTTGATGCACATTCTTCCTACCTAACCACCGTACTTAAGGGATAGTCAAAATTCAAGTTCCTTTTACAAAGCCTACCTTGACTCTTTAGCAGGAGTTTCTGGATTCTTTTATTATATTTATTATCTTATTTTTTAAAATTAGTTATTTTATTACAAATGTAATACATAACTCCCCAGTGAGATAAGTTCCTCAAGGGATAGTTTTCTGGATCACTCATTAGTGCCTATCTTGATGTTTGAAACATGTAATACTGTTGTGTTGAGTACTATTTATTTTTATCTTCAGGTTTACCATTGCTTGTTCAGAGAACAATTGCGAGAACTATTGTGTTACAAGAAAGCATTGGCAAAGGTCGATTTGGAGAAGTTTGGAGAGGAAAGTGGAGGGGAGAAGAAGTTGCTGTTAAGATATTCTCCTCTAGAGAAGAACGTTCATGGTTCCGTGAGGCAGAGATTTATCAAACTGTAATGTTACGTCATGAAAATATCCTGGGATTTATAGCAGCAGACAATAAAGGTCGGTAACGTTAGCTTTTCCTTATCTCGTCTGTAACAAAATCTCTTCAAGTCTTTACAGATATGGTGACTAAACAATATCAGAGTAGATGAGAAATCAATGCCTGTCATATAGATTAGACCCATTAAGTCAAATACAATATATTAGTAACTTTTAGAACTAGGAACTTAAAGATTTTCTTGACTCTTGATAACATATTCATAAAATCTCTTATTGTTTTATAAAATGTGAAAGAGCTATTTTAAAAAGCTATGTACTTTGGTTGGTTTAGTTTAGGGCAGTTAGTTATTGAGAATAGTCATGATATAGAAAAAAAATATATAAACTTGCTCAAAATTCTGAGAATAGGGCTCAGATAGCCATTTCCTTATAGACTATTGACCTTATTTATGAGGAGAGTAAAAATAATTTGTCAGTGTTCTGAGTTCCCAAGGGCTAAGTAGATGAATCTTTTGGTAAACTCAAGGAGAGAAAAGGTTTCTTCAGCCACCCTGCCATTGTAACCGTATGGACGCTTTCTTGCCTATCGTGCTGGTGCCTGAGGCCCAGCGTCGGGTCAGATGCTGAAGAAGGAAGGAACCGTGTTGGTAGGGAGTCAAAATGAGTGGGGACTGCAAGCAGTGATCTCAGACTGCTGCTGCTGCCACTTTCTTAACTTCTATTAATACCTTTATGCCCACAATTCCTACTTTCACTGCCTCTGTCAGAGACTTGTACTTCAGCCCCACACTTGTCCCTACCTGTGAGTCAAATGTGTTTCCCAGCCTTCCTATTTTTTTAAAAAAAGCTGTCATTATTGCTTAGCTTGGCTGGACCTATAGTCATCTTTTTCCTTCTCTCACCTTCCATTTTCTTAGCAATATTTATTTATTCAAATATTAACAATTTTTAATTTCACTTGGTAATTATGGGTGAATTTTAGATTTTTCTTTTAGTTTCTCTGGGTTTTCAAATTTATTTACAAGCATGTACTGCTTTTTTTTTTTTTTTTTTTTAACTTATTTGTAGAAAATTTCCAATATGTGGAAAAGCAGAATAGTTACAGTGATCCCTCATCATCCAGCTTTAACAGTGGCCAGGTCACTGCCATCATAATTGATCTCTAGCCCCGCCTACTCTGCCAACTGCGTTATTTGAAGCTGGTCCCAGATAACATCTTTTCATCCATAAACACTTATAAATGTAATTTGTATCTTCAAATGATGAGGAAATGTTTTTATGAAACAACCACACTACCATTGTTAATTTTTTAAATGTTATCAAATATCCCATTTAGGTTCAAATTCTGTAATTGTCTTTTATTTTAAAAAATTATTTATTCAGATTATGATCCTAAGTCCACATGTTGTATTTGTTTGATATTTCTCTTGTGTCTCTTAAAATCTTTAGATCCCCCTTCATCTTTTTTCTTCTCTTGCAGTTTATTTGTTGAAGAAATTGGATTGTTTGTCCTATAGGACCTATCACATTCTGGATTTTGCTAATTGAATTTCCATAGTGTCTCTTAACTTGTTCCTCTGTGTTTTCTAAAAGCTAGTAGTTAGATTTAAAGCTAAACTTAATGGAGTTTTATTGGTTTTCTCAAAATACTCACTAAGGATATTATATACATCGTATTGCATCATATGTGGAAGTATATAGTATTTGATTACGACGAGGCAGTGATGTATATGATTGATGTAGGTAGTGGTTATCAATGGCACATGACAATGCAATATTACTTAAGTTAAAAATAAAACAAACAAAAGTAGTAATCAGTCTGACCAGATCCTTAGTTCTCATTTTCGTTTTCGCCTCTGACACCTTTTATTTCCTCCCCCAAGTCTTAAAACAACCTTTTCTTTATTTACTATGTTCGGTGACCCTAGACTTTATTTGTTCCTTCTTATTTCTTTATAGTTGTCTTTGTTTTCTCAACTCTTACTCTTCTCACTGGTTCATATGAAGGTACTGATTCTACAAATGGTAATTTCTTCTTTAAGAACATACCCACATTCATGGTTGCAAACTCTGCCATGTTGGCAACTCTTAAATCTGCATTTTAAAGCTTAAACCTCACCTGGTATCTGGTTTTTGTCACATTCCAAGTTACAAACACAGCAGCACAAAATGTTGGTGAGTCTGTGCCCTGAACTTCTAACCAAGCTGATGCTGTCATCTGGTGGTCACCATGGGAACTAGCTGACCCTACTGGCTCTTCCCTACTCCCTTTCTTTCTTCTTTGCCAGAGTTTAATATATTTTCTTTGAGCCTAGCTCCTCCATCCCAGTTCTTTATCTTCTCCTGATTTAGTTAATTCCACCCCCAGCAGCCCTTTATATGTATGACCCCTTACATATAACCTTCCTTCTGCCTTTCTTGTCAGTAACCTGCAGTCTCCCTTTCTTCCATCTGCCTGTCTTCCTCTTTATTTCTTGTACTGGTGAACTTTTCAAAATTCAGTAATAGATAAGAGGCATGCAACTAAGCTAGTGGTATACCTAAAGCAAGAGTGCTAGTTTGGACAGAATCAGTTTATAAAGTTCATGAAGGGCAAGTAAATACTAAGTCCTTTAAAATGTACCTAGAAGTCTCTTCCAAAATCTCCTGAAAAGTTCCCATTCCTTAATCTCTTCTAATCGGAGTTGCTTTCCTTGTTCAAGTAAATACCTTCAAAATAGAAGCTGTTTCATGTCAATATGGATTTTTTCTTTTGTTTTACAACCAGCAGGGAAATAAAGAGCACAGTTTAAACTATGTACTTCTTGCCCAAAGAATCTAGTTTTTTGTTTTTTAAAACTTAACAGTCTTACAAAGTAAGCTGTTATTCTTGTTGTATAAAAGGAGAAACAGAGGCTGGTTGGCTAAGAAAGCATCAATAATAGGCAGGCCATGGATTCCAATCCAGGTCAGAATGACTCTAAGCATGCATCTTTTACTGGATTGTGCTGTCTCCTAATGTTGTAATGCTTTCATTCTTCATAGCTTAATTAAATATGTGGTTTTCTAGCTACTTCCAGGTTAAATTAGACTTTTGTGGACCAGTCTAGCCTAGGAGCCTAGCTAGTAGCTTTACCATTATTCCTATGAGAAAACATGTTTTAAAATCATGTATTGGCTTACAGAGGAAATTTTGGAACCCGCATTCTTAGTTGTTTGAGTTTAGTCCCAGCTTTCCCAGCTTTTTCTCCTGACATTTCAGTTCCTATTTCAGCTTCCCCATGTGTTAGAGGTATCACTATTTCTGTTTTTCTAAGCTAGCAACCTTGGAATCATAATCATCTTGTCTTGCGTCTTTGTGAACTGTATATGCAATCTGTCACTAAAGCTTGTCATTTCTCATCGAAATTCGCTTTCAATTTTGTCCCATACTCTTCCATTCCCCCTGTGGCCCCACTGGGCTCCAGAGACTTCTCACCTCCTTCCTTTCTTCTCTGTTCCCTTCCTTTTTCCTTCCAGGAGCAGCCACTGAGCACCCAACCCAACCCAGGGATTTTTCTAGGCACTTAAGAGCACCAGCTCTGATACTAATTATCTGTGAAGACTCAAGAAAGTCACCATCTTTGTCTCTTAAATGGGATTAATTATCCTCACCTTATCTCAAGAAGAGGGACTTACTCTGAGGAACTAAAGGATGTGCATATAATACATAAGATAAACTGAATGTAGAAGAAAACGTGAAGGAAATACAGACTTAAGTGGCATTATATTGCAGTGTGTGACTCAGGATTGAGAGTAAAAAGTGATAACCTTTGAACAAATAAATCATAAATGGTCTACAGCCCAACCAAAATGTTGTTAATTCTGTTTACAGACAATGGTACTTGGACTCAGCTCTGGTTGGTGTCAGATTATCATGAGCATGGATCCCTTTTTGATTACTTAAACAGATACACAGTTACTGTGGAAGGAATGATAAAACTTGCTCTGTCCACAGCAAGTGGTCTTGCCCATCTTCACATGGAGATTGTTGGTACCCAAGGTAACTCTATTAGCAGTTGTATTATTTAAGCTTTAAATTTCCATGAATAATGTTTATGAAAATAGAAGGTGGAGGCCAAGCCTGGTGGCTCACTCCTATAATCTCAACACTTTGGGAGGCTGAGGTGGGCAGATCGCTTGAGCTCAGGAGTTCAAGGCCAGCCTGGGCAACATGGCAAAACCCCATCGCTACCAAAATACAAAAAATTATTTGGTCATGCCGGCATGCACCAATAGTCCTAGCTACTCAGGAGACTGAGGTAGGAGAATTACCTGAGCCTGGGAGGTCGAAGCTGCAGTGAGCAGACATCATGCCACTGTACTTCAACCTGGGTAATAGAGTAAGATCCTGTCTCAGGAAAAAAAAAAAAAAAAAAAGAAAGAAAATAGTAAGTAGCCTAACTGGATATATTTAAAACAAAATTTTTAGATGAGAACATTTTATCTTTCAGTTCAAAGTTTCAAGTAGAGCTAGGAATCTGGAAATTTGTTTAGAGATTCTCTAGTCATTGTAACAAAACTGTGATTTTTTTATTTTCAGTTCTTAAAAGTAGCATTCAATCTTTGATTTTTGAGGATTTTAGTTTCAGAATTCGAGTCTAAGTGAATATATTTTTATGTGTAGTATCAAATGAGAAAGTGCTTTGAAAACTTCAGCATGTTATATAAATGTTATCTGGCCATCTAATAATTATATTTGACCTTGAGATAAGGAGACTGCATGAGATAGTTTTACAGTTGAAAAATTAAATACTAAGTTTTAGTTATGCAATTTTATGCTACAGTTTTTGTGCCGTGTAGGATTTCAGATGCCAGTTTAGCTCTCTGCTCTAGCAGTTTTCCACTTGCAACCCAGTGGCTCCCCCATTCCCCACTTTACATACAGCATAAGTGCTGGTTCATATCTTAACCAGCTCCATCTTTGTAATTATTGTTGTTATTGATTATAGCAGTTTTATCGAGTTATAATTCACATCATACAGTTCACCCACTTCAAATTCAGTGGTTTTTAGAATATTCAGAGTTGTACAACCAACAAACATTACAGTCAATTTTAGAATATCTTTATCACTCCAAAGAGAAACCCTGTAGGCACTAGCAGTCACTCCCCTTTCCCCCCAAACTCCTAGTCCTAAGCAACAACTGCTGCTTTCTGTTTATAGATTTGCCTATTCTGCATATTTTATATATTGAATCATACAGTATGTTGTCTTTTGTAACTGGCTTCTTTCACTTAGCATGTTTTCAAGGTTCACTTATGTTGTAGCATGTATGAGTACTTCAGTCATTTTGATGGCTGAGTAATACTTCAGTGTATGGATATACCACATGTTGTATATCAATTAGTTGATGGGTATTTGGTTTGTTTCTTCTTTTGGCTATTGTAGCTAATGCTGTAATGAACATTTGTCTACAAGTTTTATGTAGGTACATGTTTTGGGTTATCTTGGGTATATACCTAGGAGTTGAATTCCTGTACCATATGAAGTACCAAATGGTTTGAAGAGCTGCTATACTATTTCTTTTCTTTTCTTTTTTTCTTTTTTTGAGGCAGAGTCTCGCTCTGTTGCCAGGTGCCAGGCTGGAGTGCAGTGGCACAATCTCGGCTCACTGCAACCTCCACCTCCCGGGTTCAAGAAATTCTCCTGCCTCAGCTTCCTGAGTAGCTGGGACTACAGGCGCACGCCACCACACCCAGCTAATTTTTGTATTTTTAGTAGAGACGGAATTTCACCATGATGGCCAGGATGGTCTCGATCTCTTGACCTGGGGATCCTCCCGCCTCAGCCTCCCAAAGTGCTGGGATTACAGGCTTGAGCCACCGCGCCCAGCCTGCTATACTCTTTTCTTAAAGTGTGTGAACCATTTTGCATTCCTGCCAGCAGTGTGTAAAGGTTCCAAGTTTTCCACATTATAATTTTTTTTTCTTTTGAGACAGAGTCTCCCTCTGTTGCGCTGGAGTGCAGTGGTACAATCTCAGCTCACTGCAACCTCCGCCTTGCAGGTTCAAGCAATTCTCCTGCTTCAGCCTCCCAAGTAGCTGGCATTACAGGCACATGCCACCATGCCCAGCTAGTTTTTGTATTTTTAGTAGAGATGAGGTTTCACCATGTTGGTCAAGCTGGTCTCGAACTCCTGACCTCAAGTGATCCTCCTGCCTCGGCCTCCCAAAGTCCTAGGATTACAGGCGTTTTTAATAACACATATTCTAGTGGTTAGTATCAAAGATACTATACTTGATACTGAGTACATTTCAATTGATAGGGAAGTGATAATCTACATGCTTGGTTCTTGGGCTGCTGGAATATCAGTCTATGGCTAAGTTTCTTATAGTATCAAAGATACTATACTTGATACTGAGTACATTTCAATTGATAGGGAAGTGATAATCTACATGCTTGGTTCTTGGGCTGCTGGAATATCAGTCTATGGCTAAGAATTCATAAGGCACCAACAGATAAACTGATAAGATTTTTTGCCCCCAGTCTTGGAGTTGTTAATCTATTGTTATTGTCCCCATTTTCTTTAAAGAAATGTAATTTCAATAACTTTTGGTGTAATGATTCACTTGAGTTTATTTAGTAATGGCTCAGGTATTGTTGGTCATGTGGGCTGAAATGATTTCATACATTTGGGTTAGGAGAAGAGACTTTAAAGGTATTTGAGCTGTGATTGGTATTACCTTTTAAGCAGTCATGTTTAATTTTTGATTCTTTAGGAAAGCCAGCCATTGCTCATAGGGACTTGAAATCGAAGAATATCTTGGTAAAGAAGAATGGAACTTGCTGTATTGCAGACTTAGGACTGGCAGTAAGACATGATTCAGCCACAGATACAATTGATATTGCTCCAAACCACAGAGTGGGAACAAAAAGGTATACTTTCAAACAAATATATTTAATATCTTCTGAAATCACCTTTTTTCCCTTTTCTTTTATATGTACATATTATCACTGAACTCAGCTTAAGCTTGTACTTTATTAGATTGCCAACAGGCAAGAAGATCTCATGGTCTTGCCTGCTCTGAAGCCAAAGTTACCTGACTTAAAAAGTTGCCTGCAGATGGAAGGTTGCCCTTCCAGAAAATATTATTAGTCATGTTAATTATAGTAACAGTAGTAACTCACGTTTATAGGGCACCTATTTTGTGCCAATCATCTAGCTAATAGGTCTTTTACATATATTATCTCATTTAACAACCCTCTCAAATACTGTACTATAGCTAGCCCTGCTTTTTTAATATTTCAGTCCCTGAAAATATGTCTTTCTTGCTTTCTTAGAACTTTTGCACATGCTGTCACCTGGAGCATACATTACCCTACTGTTTCTCAGCCACATACCCACCTTTCCCATAGGAAGTTTTTTCTGGTCCTCAAGACTGTTAGGAGTCCCTCCAAGGGCTGTCATAGCACACTGAACTGGGACCATTGAGGCACTTATGCATTACATTGTAACTGTTTATTTATTTGCCTGTATATTCTATTAGGTGCAAGCTGCTTGAGAGCAGACTTGTATTCTCAGCATCCTTCACAGTGCCTAATACATGGTAGATCCTCAGTAGATATTTGTTGAGCCGGTGAGTCTTCAAAAGAACTTAATTAGGTAGGTGTTGTTACCCTTAATTCACAGATGAGGAAACCACCTTTTGGAGGTTAAATAATTTGGCCAGCTTCATGTGGATGATAAGCCAGAGAGCTGAGATTTGAACCTGGGCATTTCTGACACAAAGCCCTTTTCACATGTTGTCACAGCATTTCTTCAAACCTACTGCCTTGGCCTTGGAGAGAGCCGGAGAGCTGGCAGCATTAGTCTATTCAAATTGCATGTATGATTTTGAGATTTCTGGATTCACTGGGGGTTCTCAACTCTCAGCCAGCTAAGTGGGTCCCTGGCAGTGGTTGCTGCAGGTCTCTGTGGGTCCTGACCCATAATTTTAGTAGGTTTTCAACGCTTCAGAACCCTCCAGTGTAGCATCAGTAGGAGAACTGGCATTCTTTTGTATCTGTTATCTTTTTCCCTGGTGTATATTCCTGCCCTTCCTTTCATCCTCAGTGAGATGACTTCTAGATTCACATGCATGGTTTCTGCCTAGTACATGTATAGGTGGTGTACATTAGGACATCTTAAATGGTTACAATGGTTATATGTGTGTCTTTCATTGGAAACCAAGATCATGACGCAGATAGTGTGAAACTGCTGTTTTAGCGTTTTGTGTGATTTAGTTGACATCATTAATGTGCAAACCAGTGTGTGTATTTAATATTTTTCTCGAGTCTAATATTTGCTGTGTAATATTGTGTGCAGATGTCTATGTTTAGAGAAATGTCTGAGTGGATATTCATCACAATGTGGCAATAAGGGCATGACTTTCAAAGTTCTTTTTGCAAATTTTCTTTTAGGTACATGGCCCCTGAAGTTCTCGATGATTCCATAAATATGAAACATTTTGAATCCTTCAAACGTGCCGACATCTATGCAATGGGCTTAGTATTCTGGGAAATTGCTCGACGATGTTCCATTGGTGGTAAATTGCTCCCCTTTCCCTCAACAGTTTGTTATGAACAGAATTTGTTCAAGAATTGTCTTCTTTTTTTGTTGAATGAAATTATGTACAGTTTATCATCTGAAACAGGAGGTCACCAAATGCCAGAGAAAACAAAGGCGATGAAACCTTTGGGAGGGGACAGTGCCATGGTGTACACATGCACAGCTCTAGCCTAGTGTATTCTCTTACTGTTTCCATTTGAATCTTGAGACTCATCAGAACCCAACCCCTTGTTATATTGGAATATAGTTCTTTAGAAAGGATAGCTGCTTGAGAGGCTCACCTAGGCAGCTGTTTCTAGCATGTACCTGGGTGACAAACTTATTTTTTTTCTTTGAGATTGTGGCTATTTTCTCCAACTTGATAGTTATAGATTACATACACAGAATACCATTGTGTTGTTTTCTAGAGTTTGTTTTAACTTCTAGCTTTTTAGATGGAGCACTTTTTAATGTTTACCCAGGAAAGTCTCTTAGGCTTGGGGACCTAGGCGTGGCTGAGACCTAGGCCTTAGGTTTTTGAGGCAGTGAGGGACAGAGTATTTCTCTGTATTGTAGTAAATAGGATATATTATTGACAGAAGCAAGTAGAGAAAGCAAGTAGAGAAACCTTAAACTTGCCTCATAGGATTCATGTCTCACTGAAGTGAAAGCCTGTTCACTCACAGAATAGAATCTCAGTTGCTGCACAGTAGGGCTCTAGGGGAAAATGTCAATCTGCTCATCACAGCTCATAGTTTACTGTCATTTCAAATAGACTTTATTGATCTTATGGCAATACTTAGTTTCAAGGTGTGGGCTCAGTATCAACTCAGGAAAGTGGTCTATGGATACAGATGTGGATGAGATAGAGAAAGCTATCATCTCAGTTCCACCTACCTACTTTAGTAATGACACAGTACAAGGGCTCTCAGGTGATCTTTTTAATGGTTTGGCATTAGCTGAATAAATTCTTCAAAATTTAATTTTCTTTTAAACTAATACAGGTATTCATGAAGATTACCAGCTGCCTTATTATGATCTTGTACCTTCTGACCCATCAGTTGAAGAAATGAGAAAAGTCGTTTGTGAACAGAAGTTAAGGCCAAATATCCCAAACAGATGGCAGAGCTGTGAAGTGAGTATTTCTTTCTGATATTAGGCAATTTTCTAAATTGATTCTGCTGAGTAAGTGAAAATTTGCTACTTTTCTTTAAGGAAAACAGACAAGAATTTTCTTTTTCAAAGCAGTCAAACCAATGTGTAAAAACAGAATAATTTGGTTTTCATATTCAATTGTAAGCACATTGAAAGGGCCATGGAACATTTGCAGTGGCCTTTACATATCAGAACATAGTTTAGATCTGCCAGGCAAGCGTAAGGCACATACTTTTTTTTTTTTTTTTTAGTGACGGAGTTTTGCTCTTGTTACCCAGGCTGGAGTACAATGGCGCGATCTCGGCTCACCGCAACCTCCACCTCCTGGGTTCAAGCAATTCTCCTGCCTCAGCCTCCCGAGTAGCTGGGATTACAGGCACGCGCCACCATGCCCAGCTAATTTTTTGTATTTTTAGTAGAGACGGGGTTTCACCATGTTGACCAGGATGGTCTCGATCTCTTGACCTCGTGATTCACCCGCCTCGGCCTCCCAGAGTGCTGGGATTACAGGCGTGAGCCACCGCGCCTGGCCTACCTTCAGCCAGGACAACCCAGAATAGTGGACAGTTCCTGGACAGGAATAAGGAGACATGTATTCTAGACCAGCCTGGCTACCATTTTAAGGATCTAACTTTGAACAAATCACTTCAGTTCTCTGGACCTTAATATCCCTTTGTAAGGTGAGGAACTCAGATAAGGTGATTACAAAGGTGTTTCAAATGATTTTCCATTTCATTCATCTGATTGCCTAGATGACCATTAACCAGGAATTTGGGGAAAATGCTTTTTTCCAGGAGTGTCTGAGCTTCTCATCAGCTCTAACAAAAGTTTTAGAAATGTTTTTGTAATTGCAAATTTAAGGATTCGTAAGACAAATTTTCTTTAACCTCTCTCTCCTTAATTGCTAGCTGTTACTATTATAAAATTAGTAAAGCGGGGACTATTCCTCCAGGTTTGAAGTTGTATAGCTTAAAAGGCTATAAAAAGCTGTTCAGTTCAGTAGTTGGTTTTACATCTTAAAATATTGTAGGACTCAGCAGAACCTCTAATAACCAACAGAGCTTGCTACCTCCAACAAAATCATCTCCAGGCCCAGATAAAATGTATTTCAGCATGCTCAAAGGATTTGCATGTGACATAAGAGTGCTGCTAGATTTTGTCTTTTAGAAATTTTATCTAGTTGGGAGGCCGAGGTGGGAGGATTGCTTGAGCCTGGGAGGTCAAGGCTACAGTGAGCTGAGAGCGTGCCATTACATTCCACTCTGGGCGACAGAGTGAGAGACCCTGTCTCAAAAAGAAAAATTTGATCTGGATGCTTCAAAGTACAAACTTAAAAGTTTAGTGAGGTCAGGTTTCTTCTTTGCTTTGCCCAGCTCTGGTTTAGGATTTGGCTTTTTCAGGTTTGCTAAGTCTTTGTCCACCTGCTTTCCAGCACTGACACCAATACTCTGTTGATGGAAATTTATGTAATTTCTACTCATTTGCTGTTACAAATAATGCTTCCACAACAACAACGAATGTTTATCTGTCATTTAAAAAGAAAGTTTACAGGTAAAGATTCTTATCCAGACCAGTGGAAAATGGTACATGCATTAATTATTTTTCTTGTATTTTCTTGTAGGCCCTGAGAGTAATGGCTAAAATTATGAGAGAATGTTGGTATGCCAATGGAGCAGCTAGGCTTACCGCATTGCGGATTAAGAAAACATTATCACAACTCAGTCAGCAGGAAGGCATCAAAATGTAATTCTGCAGCTTTGCTTGAACTCGACTTTTTTCTTCAGATCTGCTCCTGGGTTTTAATTTGGGAGGTCAATTGTTCTACCTCACTGAGAGGGAACAGAAGGATGTTGCTTCCTTTTGCAGCAGTGTAATAAAGGCAATTAAAACTTCCCAGGATTTCTTTGGACCCAGTAAACAGCCATGTGGGTCCTTTCTGTGCACTATGAACGCTTCTTTGCCAGGACAGTTACAAAATGTTGTGTAGTCTACCTTTATTTTTTATTAACAAAACTTGTTTTTTAAAAAGATGATTGCTGGTCTTAACTGTAGGTAACTCTGCTGTGCTGAAGATCATCTTTAAGGGCAAAGGAGTTGGATTACTGAGTTATAATAAAACATTTCTTATTATTAAAGAAAGTGATTTACTCCTGGTTAGTACATTCTCAGAGGATTCTGAACCACTAGAGTTTCCTTGATTCAGACTTTGAATGTACTCTCCTATAGTTTTTCAGGATCTTAAAACTAACACTTATAAAACTCTTATCTTGAGTCTAAAAATGACCTCATATAGTAGTGAGGAACATAATTTATGCAATTGTATTTTGTATACTATTATTGTTCTTTCACTTATTCAGAACATTACATGCCTTCAAAATGGGATTGTACTATACCAGTAAGTGCCACTTCTGTGTCTTTTTAATGGAAATGAGTAGAATTGCTGAAAGTCTCTATGTTAAAACCTATAGTGTTTGAATTCAAAAAGCTTATTTATGTGGGTATCCCAAACTTTTTCTGTTTTGTTTTTTGGAAAGGTTTTTGTGGTATGTCATTTGGTATTCTATTTTGAAAATGCCTTTCTTCTACCAAAATGTGCTTAAGCCACTAAAGAAATGAAGTGGCATTAATTAGTACATTGTTAGCATGGTCATGTTTGAATATTCTCACATCAAGCTTTTGCATTTTAATTGTGTTGTCTAAGTATACTTTTAAAATAGCAAGTGGCACTCTACATGCTTATAGTACTTTAATATTTGTATCATACAGACTAATTTTTCTAAAAGGGAAAGTTTGTCTAGCTGTTTGTGAAAAGTTATGTGGTATTCTGTAAGCCATTTTTTTCTTTATCTGTTCAAAGACAGTGTTATTTTTTTAAGAAAGGAATTACATTTAAAATTAGAATATGGTTAATGTTAAATAATAGGCCTTTTTCCAGGAAGGCAAAGGTAGTTAGTAATTTGAATAGATAACAGATGTGCAAGAGTCACATTGGTTATGTAGGAATGTTTGGTGGATCCTCTGTCTTTGTAACTGAGGTTAGAGCTAGTATGATTTTGAGGTCTCACTACACTTTGAGGAAGGCAGCTTTTAATTCAGTGTTTCCTTATGTGTGCGTACACTGCAACTGCTTACTTTACATGTAATTTATGTAATGCATTCATTGCACCCTTGATATTTGGAAGAGGTGGTAGCTAAAGAACATTCTGAGTATAGGTTCTTCTCCATTTTTACAGATGTTTTTGTCAAGTTAAATATTGAAAGCAAACTTGTCATGGTCTTCTCACATTAAGTTGAAACTAGCTTGTAATAACTGGTTTTTACTTCCAATGCTATAAAGTCTCTGCAGGGCTTTTGCAGTTTTCAAAGTCCTTTTATCACTGTGATCTTATTCCAAGGGGAGGAAAAACTATCCTAGCTGTGAGCCACAACTTTGACTTTATAGTGCTATCAGTTCCCCAATACAGGGTCAGAATAACCAATACAGTATTTTAGTCAGGAAGAGAAAGTGGCCATTTACACTGAATGAGTTGCATTCTGATAATGTCTTATCTCTTAAACGTAGAATAAATTCGAAAGACTATTTGGTCTTAAAACCAAAGTAATTTTAGAATGAGTGACATACTACATAGGAATTTAGTGTCAATTTTATGTGTTTAAAAACATCATGGGGAAAACGTGCTTAGAGATTACTATTTTGACTACAAGGTTGAGTTTTTTCTGTAGTTACCATAATTTCATTGAAGCAAATGAATGAGTTTGAGAGGTTTGTTTTTATAGTTGTGTTATATTACTTGTTTAATAATCTCTAATTTTGTGATCAGGTACTTTTTTTGTGGGTTTTTTGGGCCATTTCTAAGCCTACCAGATCTGCTTTATTAAACCCAGGGGACCAATGCATTTTATCACTAAAACTATTTTTATATAATTTTAAGAACATACCAAAATTTGTCTGATTTAAAGTTGTAATACATGATTTCTCACTTTCATGTAAGGTAATCCACTTTTGCTGAAGATATTTTTTATTGAATCAAAGATTGAATTACAATTATACTTTTGTTACCTAAGTGGATAAAATATACTTTCGATGAATCAGGGAATTTTTTAAAAGTTGGAGTTTAGTTCTAAATTGACTTCACATATTACTGCAGTTAATTCCTTTTTTGGCTAGGGATGGTTTGGTAAACCACAATTGACTAATATTGAAAATGAAAGTAACTTAAAAGATGGGATGGATCATGATTACTGTCAATAACTGCAGATAAATTTGATTAGAGTAATAATTTTGTCATTTAAAAACACAGTTGTTTATACTGCCCATTCTAGGATGCTCTCCTTCGAGGGTTCAACTTGGCTAAAACACCTTTAGTAAATTGTGTCTACATTCATTTTGCCAATAGCCAGGAGGAGTGGGGATGGGAGAAGTGGGGCATAGACACCCCTGCACCATCCTTTCTGGCTCCAGCTGTTTCTTGCAACCTGCTCTCCTCCTTGCTGGTCCCTGACACAGAGACCGTTGCCTCCCCCACAGACTTTTGACTGAAGAGCTGCTTTGGAGATCTAGAGTACAATGGCTGATGGAAGTTGTGGGACATATTTCCTTTTTTTTTTTTTTTTTTTTTTTGTCGTTAGAAGTGGCAGGGAGAGGTCTCCACATTTGGAGATTGAGCAGATGAGGATTGGGATACCCCTGCTGGTTGCCCTCCTTTGACTTTAGCCATGGATGAGGAATGGGATAGCAGCAAGGTGGCTGCTGTGGTAGTGCGAGTTGTGCCAGAAACTGGCCAGTTGTATCCCCCGTAAGACAGGGTAAGGTCTGAAGAGCTGAGCCTGTAATTCTGCTGTAATAATGATAGTGCTCAAGAAGTGCCTTGAGTTCGTGTACAGTGCCATGGCCATTAAGAATCCCAGATTTCAGTTCTTATTAAAAATTGTCACTTCACGATTTTGTAGTCCATCCATGGTTACCTCTTTTCTCTATGTCTGAGAACTGTCAGATAGATACAAGCTATTTCATAAAACAAGATGGCAAAGAGATCATTAAATTGCACGACAAAATCAGTCTGCCATTAGTCACATCATCAAAAGCTTATTTTTATTCTTGCACTGGAAGAATCATAAGTCAACTGTTTCTTTTGTTTCTTGACCATGGCAGTGTTCTGGCTCCAAATGGTAGTGATTCCAAATAATGGTTCTGTTACAGTTAGGCAGAAAATGCCAACTCAGATATTTTGAGATACTAAGGATTATCTCTGGACATGTACTGCAGCTTCTTGTCTCTGTTTTGGATTACTGGAATACCAGTGGGCCCTCTCTCTAAGAATGCTGGACTTCTAGGATATTGTGAGGATTGTCAGTACATTAAACTTTTCAATCCCATTATGCAATCTTGTTTGTAAATGTAAACTTTTAAAAATACAGTTAATAACATTCAACCTGTTTCTTACAACTTAAAAGGAATTTCAGTGAATTTGTTTTTATTTTTTAACAAGATTTGTGAATTGAATATCATGAACCGTGTTTTGATATCCCTTTTTCACGTTGTGCCAACGGAATGGGGTGTTTGATATTTCTGTATATGTCAAGGAGATGCTTCAAAATATCAGTTGCTTTAAACTTAAATTACCTCTCAAGAGACCAAGGTACATTTACCTCATTGTGTATATAATGTTTAGTATTCGTCAGAGCATTCTCCAGGTTTGCCGTTTTATTTCTATGAAGTATGGGTATTATGTTGCTCAGTTAGTCTAATGGTACTGTATTGTTTATATTTGTACCCCAGATAACATCATCTGTACTTTCTGTTTTCTGTATTGTATTTGTGCAGAATACTTTTGGTTTTATCAGTGTAATCTCTGCCCTTTAAGATATGTACAGAAAATGTCCATATAAATTTCCATTTAAGTCGAATGATACTGAGAAGCCTGTAAAGAGAGAAAAGACATAAGCTGCGTTTCCCCATACGTTTTTTAAATTGTATATTGTATTTGTAGTAATATTCCAAATGAATGTAAATAGGAAATAGAAGAGTGATGCTTATGTTAAGTCCTAACACTGCAGTAGAAGAATGGAAGCAGTGCAAATAAATTACATTTTTCCCAAGTGCCAGTGGCATATTTTAAAATAACATGTGTATGCTGGAATGAGCCATGCCATATGTAGTTGCTGTAGATAGCAGCTAGAACCTTTGAGTTACCAGAGTCGCTTTTCTAACCCTGCCTAGTGCAAGTTACAGTATTATAGCATGTTTGAGGAGTACTCTCCTGTCTGCAGGTGTGGCTTTGTGCCTGGGGGCTTTTCTCTACATGCTTAGAGGTGTGGGTCTTCAAAAGTGGTGCTTGGTGGACCTGTGTACAGGTAAACTCAGTTGCCTTTGGCTCAGCACATTTGTTAGTGTCCTGGGGGTGAAAACTTGGCTGATAAAGAGAACTGAAAAATCATGATAGAGATGTGGTCCCCAATCCCTTGACTGAATCTGGGGAGGGGCTTTGGGAATAAGACTGCTCTCACATTAAAGATAGTTACTTTAATTTGAAGACTGGATTTAGGGATTTTTTTTTCTTTATAATAAAGACATCACCAGGATATGGAGCTTTTGTTGAAAGTTGGAAAAAAGGTGAAATTTAAGACATTCCCAGACAAATACTAAGACAGTTTGTTACGTATGGATATCTGCCTTACAAGAAATACTAAATCCTTCAGACAGAAAATAAATGACACCAGATGGTAACCTGAATCCACTGGATGAAATAAAGAGCACCAGAAATCGTGGATATGTGTGTAAATAGAAGACTATGATTGTATTGCTGCCATAACAAATTACCACAATATACTGGCTTAAAGCAACACCAGTTTATTAGCTCAGAGTTTCATAAATCAGAAGTCTGGACATAACAGCTCAGTTGGTTCTCTGCTCCATATTGTAAAAGGTCAAAATGAAGGTATTGGCTGGGCTGCATTCTTTTCTGGAGGCTCGAGATGAATAGGCTTCCAAGCTCATTGAGGTTGTTGGCAGAATTCAACTCCATATGGTTTAAGACTGAGGTTGGTCAGGGGTTGTCAGTTTCTAGAAGCCACTCATATTCCTTGGCTCGTGGTTCCCTCCTCCATCATCAAAACCAGCAACAGTGGGTTGAATCCTCCTTGCACTTCCCTCTGATCTCCCCTTCTGCCTCATCTCTCCACTGTCTTCCACTGCATCTCTGATTCTTCTGGTTTCCTCTTTTGCTTTTAAGGGTACATGTGATTACTCTGGGCTCATCTAGATAATCCAGAATAATTACTGATTTAGTAACCTCAGTTTTACCTGCGAAGTCCATTCACAGCAGTACCAAGATTAGTGTTTGATTAAATAACTAGAGAATGGGAATTTTTGGGATATATTTGCCTACCAAAATAAATACAAGTTCTCAGTAGCATAAGACTATATAGTAATTATAACACCATACTGTTGGGTTTACAGTACAGGTGCAGAATATATTAATAGCACCAAGGAGTGGGTAGGAAGTGGAGCTGTATTGGGACAAAGGTGATTTTATTAGAATTAATTAGTCTTAAAAAGATTGTAATAAATTGAAATGCATACTGTAGACCTGGAGTAACCACTAAAGCATCAATTTAAAAATGTATTTAAAAAAATGGTAAACCAAGAAATATTTAACACAAAAGGCAGAAAGGGACAGAGAAGCAAAATTGTATGAGACATTTGGAGAACAAATAGCAAAATGCCAGCCATAGTCTGATCATACCCTAATTTCATTAAATGTGAATGGTCTAAATAGTTAAAAGGTAGAGATTGTCAGGATGAATTTTTAAAAAATCAACTATATGGTGTCCACAGAGGCACACTGTAGATTCAAAGACCAATAGTTTGAAAGTATGGAAAAATATAAAACATCCAACAGTAATCGTAAGAGGGCTGGAATGTCTTTATTAATAAAGTGGGCTTTAAGACAAATATTACTAGAAATAAACAATTCTTTAAAAAGTCATATATTTGAGAGATACAACAGTTAACATATGTATATGCACCTAACAGGACCACAAAATAATGAGAAAAACCATAGACTTGAGAGGGCAAATGGACAATTTAATAATATTTGGAGATTTTGACACCTTATAATAATTGATAGAATGACTCAATTGAGAATCACAGCCATATGAAAGAATGCTGTCAGTCAGCTTGTCCTAACACCACCGCCACCCACCACCAACAGAATGCACACTCTTTGTCAGTGCATATGGAACATTCTCCAGGGAACACTACATGGTATTTCATAAAAAGTTTCAATGAACTTAAAAGGATTGGAATAGTAAAAGTATGTTCTCCAACCATGTTTAAATTAAGTCAGATGTCAACAGAAAATTACAAAGCCCCAAATATTTATAAATTAAATTGCACATTTCTAAAATATCCATGTATTGAAGAAGTCACAAAGGAAGTCAGAAATTTTTAGACAAATTGAAAGTACAGAATGTCAAAATTTATGGTGTACAGCTAATACACTGCTTAAAGGGAAATTTACACTTTTAAATACCTATATTTTAAAAGTATTTAAAGCCAGTGAAGAGAGATGCAAAAATCCTTAAAATATAGTATTAGGAAACTGAATCCAGCAACAGATAAAAAGATTAATACACCAGGGCCAAATGGACCATATCCTAGGACTGTAAGCTTCATTTAATATCAAAAAATTAAATGGGTTATACCATACTAATAGAAGAAACAATAAAACTCATTATAATAACTAAATAGCTGCATTCATTATGACAACTCAGCAAACTAGAAATAGAAGGCAATTTCCTCAAGCTAGTAGTGAAGGGCATCTGTAAAAAATTCACAGCCAACATGCTTAATGGTGAAAGAGAATATTTTTCTCCTTAAGTCAGGAACAAGTAGAGAACATCCTCTCATCATTTCTATTCAATGTTGTCATGGAGGTTCTATCCAGTCCCTGCTCCCTCTCCCTACAAAAAGACTATAAAGACATTAGATTGGGGAAAAGAGTCTTTACAACTAATATTACCGGTTAGAGTCTAAAGAATCCACCAGAAAAAAATTTTTTATGAGACCCAATAAACTTAGCAAGCAAGGTTGTAGGAAACACAATCAATATTTTAAAAATTGACATATTAGCAATGAAAAATACCTTCTAAGGTAAACTACTCAGAATAGTGTCGAAAAATACAATAATACATTTATTTAATTGAGAAAAATATTGCTGAGGAAAATCAAAGGATTTAAATTAATGAAGAGAACGTCCATGTTCATGGATTAGAGAATTCAATGCTGTTACGATGGCAATTCTCCCCAAAGTGTCCTATAAATTCAGCTCAATCCCTAGCAATATTCCAGAAAGATTTTCTTTAAATTCACAAGCTGATCCTAAAACTTATATGGAAATGCAAAATGTCTAAAAGACCCCAAATGATTTTAAAATACAATAACAAAATTAGACAAATTACACAATTTCAAAACTTACTGTAAAGTTACAATTATCAGGAGTGTTTACTGGCACAAGGATAATTGGTCATATAGAGCAATGGGATAGAATTAAGGGTCCAGAAATAAACTCTCACATATGACCAATGGACTTCCAAGATATGCACAAAGATAATTCAGCAGGAGAAAAGACAGTCATTTCAATAAATGGTGCAGAGACAATTGGATATTCGTATTTTAAAAGGAAGGAAAAGGAGAAAGTTAATTAGACCCTCAACTCATTATGCATCTAAGGATAAGAGCTAAAGCTATACAAGAAAACAGGAGAAAATCTTTGTGGTCTTAGGTTAGGCAAAGATTTTAATAGCAAAAGCAAAATTCAAAAGCAAAATTTATTTTTTAAAAAGTTGATAAATTGGACTTCTCCAAAACTAAAATATTTGGGGCATTATAAAACAAGAGAATGAAAAGATGAGCCAAAGCCTGGGAGAAAGTATTTGCAAATCATACATCTGATAAGAGATTTGTATTCAGAATATATAAAGAACTCTTAGAAAACTCTTAGAACTCAATAAAAAGACAAATGACCCAATTAAAAATTGATGAACGAATTCATTGCTCAGAGATTTGTGATGGTAGGGTTAAAATTTAAAATAATGTTCTAAATTATTTAGGTATTAATGTTTAAATGGTAATTCGACAACCGTTTATAAAGTGATTTCTGAATACTGTAAACTATATGTAGGACTGTGACAAAGTAAAAATTGGTCAAAAGAATTTGACATTTTCCCAAGAAGATATATGAATAGCTAATAAACATAATTCTTTATAAAGACCTGATGAAATTAAAACCACAAGAAACCCCTTCTCACACACTCAAATGATATAGTTTTAAAAAGATAACCAAGTGTCAATAAAGATGAGAAAAAGATGAATCTCACACGCTGCTGAAATGTAAAGAATCCCTTTGGAAAACGGATTGGTGGTATCTTAAGAGGTTAAACAGAAACCTATTATGTAACCCACTAATATCATTTCTAGGTATCAGCAGAGCTGCCAGATAAAATACAGAATGCACAGTTAAATTTGTGTGTCAGATGAAAACAAACAATTTTTTAGTATAAGTTTGTCCAAAATATTGCATGGAACATATTTATACTAAAAAAAAAGTATTGTTTATCTGACATTTAAATTTCACTTGGCATCCTGTATTTTAACTTGCTAAATCTGGCAACTCTAATCCAAGAAAAGTTAAAACATATATCCACACAAAGTCTTGTAGGTGAACATTCACAGCAGCATAATTCAATAGTCAAAAATGGAAACACGCTAAATGTCCATCAACTGGTGAACTGATGTTTAAGACGCGGGATATTTATACCACAGTTTACAAGACTGCTTGATCCACGTTGCAATGTGGATGACCTCACAACCCTGATGCTAAGTGAAGGAAGTAGGATGAAAATGTTGTAAAAAGTCACAAGGGAACTTTGTGGGATAATGGGAATTGAGGCAGGAGAACAGGGTCTGGAGGTAGGGAACTTAAGGCTGTTTCACCCCAACTTCCTAGAACTAAATTGAAAGGAAAACCCTAACTTTCCATGCCTAAGTAACAAAAGGACCAGAGGCTACTCCCTTTCACCTTTCTGCCCTGCAGATG